CTCGCAGAGGCATGTCTCATTGGTTTTCTAGGTGTTTTGAATACAATCGGGTGAACAGTAAAGATTAATATTCCAGGGGCTAGAAAGATGGCTCAGTGATTAATAGCACTGGCTGCTCTTCCAGAGGATCTGAGTTTAATTCCTAGCAACTACATGGTGGTTCACAACCATCTTTAGTGGGATCTGATGCCCTCTTTTGGCATAAAGGTGTACATGCACATAGAGCACCATACAGATAGATTAAATAAATAAATAAATCTTAAAAAAAAATCCCTGAGGCAAGAGAGATTGCCCAGAAGCTAAGAACACTTACTGCTCTTGCAGAAGACCTGGGCTCGATTCCCGGAATCCACGTCAAGTGGCTCACATACACCAGGAGATCCAATACCCTCTGACCTTTGCAGGTAGGTATCTGCATATACATGGTTTATATAAACTCACATAAGCTCACATACATACATATAAATAAAATAAAAAATATTACTCACTACACCGCTTAAATAGAAAGTTGGAAACTTTATGTGGGTCTCTCAAATTCATTTAAACTACAGCTGACCCATGAAATCCTGGAGTCTGAAGATAGCTGGTTTGATTCGTTGCATCAACATTGCTGGGACTTCCTTGGAACAAGCCCAGGGAGATGGCAAATAGCATCCTTGTGTCTAGGAGGTTTAGAGATTGCTGTCCTTGGCTGACACTGAAGGGTCAGTAAGGCTTAGCAGACCCACCTCTCCCTAGGGGCTGTTATCTGTGACGGTCACCTTCTTGTTGAGGCTCTGCTTGCCTTTGTAGCTACCATTCAGTTATCCTTGAGGGTGACACTGGATCAACCATGGAGTCAGGCTTTGTCGTAATGCCCCACATCTTGAGATCAAGGCAAGCCACACAACCAAGACTCGAGTCGTGGTATGTATAAGGGCAAACACACAGATAATACCAGGGTTGGATGACTGGGACAAACTCCCAGCTTCCGTCTCCATCTCAGCCTAGTTGTCAGTGGTCATGGCAACCCCAGCCGGGAGGCCAGAGGCGAGTCAAGAGACTGTAGCCCTCCATGATGTCTCCGCTCCCTGCAACCTCCGAGGACTAGTTAAGTACAGGAGGGCCTAGCAGCTTGTGCCTGGGCTCTCACGGGAGAGCTAGGGCTTCGTTATTTCCTTTGCTGTAAGTCTCGCAATCAGTGGACCTTTTGGATGTTTGTCATCTAACTTCACATCAGTGGATGACAGTGAATTGGAGAAGAGTTTTAAGTGACTTGGTCACACTTTCCCATTGCTATTTAGTCCGAACTGTGGCTAACTCTCCTGTGCCCTCGTTCACGTGCTTTGAAAATCCCGTCATGCTTTCTCCCTCCTATGAGCACTCACTTGGCTTAGTAAAAGTAATTGCATGGCCTCCATAGTCTCTCAGCCCTCTCCACAGCTTGGTGAAGTAGATATTCTAACCCTGCTGCTGCTGAGAACGATGGGCTCAGGAGCTAAGCAATGCGCTAAGGCTGCATTGCGGCGAAGAGGTCATATTCGTCCTTCGGTTCCAAACCCCTTCCTCTCTCCTCTGAGTATCCAGGTTCTCTGACTAGGGGAGTCAGGCTCACTTGCCCAGTGTTCTTCTCTGAGAAGTAATTTAGCTGACCCTGAAGATCTTTGACAGAGCTCTCTTGGACAGTCTCTCGGAAGCACTGGAAGGACTTTGCTTTTGATGTAGCAAGTGGTGCTGATCTTCTCCTGAGAGATTTAGATCTCAGTTCCAGACATTATCACTCATAGAACTTCCGCATGGCTCACAGGGCCTCACCTACTCCAACCTCTGATCTCTGGAAACAGGAAGAGGATTTGCTGCTGAGGGTTCTAGAGGGAGCAGCAGTGAGGTTCCCAGGAGCCAAGGCCTGTGCCATGGGGCCGGGGTAGATGAGGTAACCGGTTCTGATATTGTCCAAGTCAAGCTTCTGTCAGCAGAGTGCCTGTGGCTTAGCGCATATGGAAGCAACCACTCTGGAGTAGGAGGGGGCAAGGGCCCCAGACTGTATCCTGTTAGGACACAGAATCCAGCTGGGAGGAAGGGGGTAGGATCTGACAGGTGCAGAGAGCTCTCAGTACAGGCTGGCTTCCACTGGCGTCTGGGCTGACACAGAACACGGGCTCTGGAGTCAGGGTGGCCTATCCAGAATCCCAGTGTCTTGGTTTAGCGATTATATAATGTTGGGTGAATCTTTAGCCCCTCTCAGCTTCCATGTTCACATGGCCTCACACCCACCATGGTCCAGATGTTGTGTATACAGTGGCTCATGCCATTGTCAGGATGCTAGAGTATTTACAATAGAGGCCGTCCAATAACAAACACGCAGAAGAGCTGCTCAAGTTTATGAGACAAATAATCCAGACGGTTGTCAAAGAACAAGCAACAAATCTATCCATGAGCAACATTTCAACGTCAGAAGTATTTTTTTTTTTTAAGAAGGGAGGGCTGGAGAAATGGCTCAGCTGTTAAGAACACAGACTGTTCTTACAGAGGGCACAATTTAGTTCCCAGCACCGCAACTGACTGACAGTCACCTGTAACTTCAGCCCCAGGGGATATGATGCCTCTGGTCTCAGCAGGTAGCTGTACTCATCTGGATATACCCATACATAGCCACACACTTATACACACACAAATAGTGTTTTGTTTTTGAGACAGGTGGTTTTTTTTTGTTGTTTTTTTGTGAAGCACTGGCTGTCCTGGAAATAGCTTTGTAGACCAGGCTGGCCTTGAGCTCACAGAGATCCACCGGCCTCTGCCTCCTGAGTGATGGAATTAAAGGTGTGTGCCACTGCCACCTGACACAAGAATAATTTTTTTAATTAAAATTTAAAAAGGAGAGAAAAGCAACATCGAAGTGCCATTATTATGCTTATTCAATTATTGTATCGCAAAATTTAACAATAAAGCTGGGAGTAATAGGCAGTGCATGCCTATAATCCCAGTTCTCAAAAGGAAAAATATGATTATGAGGCTAGCCTGAGCTATCCAACAAACTCTCAATAATGATGATGATGACAACAATAATTACTATTATAGGTTATGCTGGCGAGTGTGTGCTCTGTGTGGTACACTTATGTGCTTTATTAAGTTATAAACCCACTTTTAAATTTTAACTGATACAGAAAACTCATAATATTATGTATATGCCTGGGGTTCTATGTAATGTTTGATACATGTATACACGGTGACACTTACATGTTTTGATGTGACCCCTTCAGAAAACAAGGTACCGAGATATATTAAAGCTATTGATGTTTGTAATCTTTGATAGTCTTGGTAGCCTGAGGAACTGAGTCTATCCTAACGTCATAACTGTTCTCAAAATGTTTATTATGCAAAGCTTTCCAAGCACATAAAGCACAATGGATAAATAGAAGTGGTTATTAAAAACCTCGAGGGCTGGGGAAATGGCTCAGTGGCTGAAGGGCTTACTAACACAAGCGAGAGAAGCTGAGTCCAAGCCCAAGCATCGGGGGGGGGGGGGGACAAAACAAGGCCAGGTATGGGCTCACACACCTGCAGCTCCAGCCCTAGGGAGGTGGAGACGGAGCTCCCTGCCCTGAGCATCATCATCATCATCATCATCATCATCATCATCATCATCATCATCACCATCTGCACCATCTGCATGTGTCCGTTGGCTCTGCATGGTACACTGGGCTCCCTGGCCACCCATGCTAGCCCGGCTGGTGAACTCCAGGTTCAGTGAGAGAACCTATCTCAGAAAAGTAAGGTGTAAAATAATTGAGGAAGATGCCCAGTGTCAAACCCTGACCGCCACACATGTTCGCACACGTGTGCATATGCTCCTGTACACCATTTATTTATTTGCTTGTGTGGGGGGCATGGTGTGCATGTGGAGACCAGAGGACAACTTGCAGTGGTCTGTTGTCCCACCACGTGCGTTGCAGGGATAGCACTTAGGTGGTCAGGCTTGGTGGCAGGTGCCTTTGGCCACGGAGCCATTTCGTGGCCCTCGGGGACTATTTTAACAGGAGAAAATAGATCGCACGTGGGAGATTTTTTCACAGTGAAAAGCAGCCATCTGAAAACGCAATAGGAGGAGTATGTCTCTCAAGCTGTGATTCAGACCAACCACCACAGGCCAGGGGAAATGATAAATAAGGGGAAATGTGCGATTGTATAAAACAGGGCATAATGGTAAGTAAAAATATTGTATCTACAGCTGATGATAATCTTATAAAATCACATGTGTGAGCAAAGTTTAGAAAAATAGGCAAAAGCATCTGCTGTATTGGGATGGAAGATAATGAATTCGTTGTTCTCTTTGAATATGGTTGTTCCATTGTTTTTATATTAATTAATTAATTGGGAGATTATCCTAGGCTCTGCCCCTGAATGACCTATGCATGTGTATTTGATGCTCGCCAATTCCACATAGTAATTTACATAGAGAGTTATCAGGGAAAGTGGCCAGGCCGGGTGTGGGGAAGCACCTGTCATCCCAGCACTGGGGAGGCAAGAGGACAGTGGATTTGAGGCTGGCCCTGGGCAAGCTTCAAAGGAAAACTTTTTAAATAGAGCTAGAGATGTAGAAATGATAGAGTGCTTGCCTAGCATGCGCATGTTCCTGGAATTTATCTTATGCACTGCGGATAAAAATAGCAGGGTTTTGGCACACACCGTGGTTTCAGTGCTGGGCTGACCCTTGAGTGGTCAAAGACTCCCATAATGCCAGAGCTACACAGGACAGTCTGATGTTTCGTGACTGTCTCAAGGCTGGGTTTCCTAAGAATTCCAATAGGGGTAAGTCCCCCCCCCTTTGAAGTCTGGCCACCCTTAGGTTTTTATCTGGGCACTTATACATCCAGGAGTCAGCGGCGTATGCATGAGGGGAAGCCATCTTAATGGAGAGCATTCTTCTCGTGTAAGTGCTGGGCTGAGGGCGGTCAGATGATGGAGGGCCAAGACATATTGCCCCTGGGATGCAAACCCCCAGGCCATGGTCATCTCCACAGGACCCTGAATGGCCTCAGCCAGACCCGGCCCTTGCAGCAGCACACAGGGCTGTCCAGGACTGTCCGGCGTTATCCAGCCACCGGTGCCAATGGCCAGCTGACTTCCAACGCTTTGCCTTCGGGACCAGGACTGGAGTTGAGAGATGACATCCAACCGGGATCACATGTGAACCACCTCTCACCCTCTTGGGGTAAGGTCGCCCTGCGTCTGGACCTAGGAGAACAGAGCATCTAAATCTGACCCATTCTTGCCCCACCACTGCTCACTCTCAAAGGACAGAGCTGTCACTTTGTCCTTCACTTTTTTCAGCCGATCGACAAACAGTGTTGGTGCCCTTGCTTTGTGCCAAATTCCAGAGCATCAAACTAATCCGTCTGAACCCTAGGACTTTGACGGCAGTCTGGCGTCTCCTGCTCTGTCATCTCTGCCTGCCTTTGCTTCCTCCATATCCGGCTGGAGGGCCTCAATTCCCTGACTCATGCATTTCCACATTATCCTTTCTGCAAACGCCAGTCCTGGACCAGTGCAGCCAGCTGTGTCTTCCAGGAAACCCCCAGCGTTTCTGACACAAACCGCCACACACACCGCCATTGTCTGCAGCACTCACTTCCTCCTTGATGTTTTACTGACATCCTCACCCCCTGCTAATTGAAGCTGGTAACCAAATCTTCCAAACCTGATTCAAGCCACGCCTCAGGCCTTCTCTGCCTCTATTTCCCCTAGAGAACCCCTTCTCTGTCCGTCGGAGCTATGTTCCCCTCCCTACCCTTGTACTCAAGGCTTGGGTTTGCACTTTTTGGCTGTGTAATGAGGGTGCCCTGGATATCGCTCCACCTCGGTCCAACCGTGAAATGAAATATCCGGTAGACATGGGAGAATTGCCCTGCAGTTTTGAGTGGCTCCTCTCGTTGCAGTACATATCAGTGTGCACACAGGATGAGCTTAGGGGGGCATCTCTGGTCCCTTCTTGACACCCTCACCCTACCGTGACTGCAGGCCTGTTGTCCAGGTCTTAGCAGGTGCTGTAGGATGCGCTCTCAGTCAAAGGACCTTTTGCACCAGGCTTGGAGATCAGGGTTATGCTCTGGTTCTGTCCAGGACCCAAGCCCTCCCTCTCTCTGCAGGGCTGAACCTCACCGAGAAAATCAAGAAGATCAAGGTCATCTTCACTCCCACCATCTGCAAGCAGACCTGTGCCCGCGGCCGCTGTGCCAACAGCTGTGAGAAGGGCGACACCACCACCCTCTACAGCCAAGGTGGCCACGGGCATGACCCCAAGTCTGGCTTCCGTATCTGTGAGTCCCCTACCCTGCAGATGGTCTTGGCATGGTGGGGGTGGTGGGGGCGGGGCTGCCTCTCGGGGCCTCCTTGGTGTGGGACCTCTTGTCCTGTAGCTCTGTTGGTTGTTATACGTCACAGCAATGAGTGAATGTGATCCCAGCTCTGTCCCAGTCTGGCTGTGTGATTCCAGGCAAGTCACACAACCTCTCTGAGTCCAAGTTGCTTTGATAGGGAAGAACCACTCCCCTGCCTGTGCTCCAGGTTACTTTAATGGGCAGGAGAGACAGGAGGAGATTTCTCTGAAAGGCTAGTTATTAGTTCTTTATTTTTACTTTCCTTTGTTCAAGGAAAGGCCCCACATTTCAAGGGGTTCTACACCCTCCAAGCCCCCCACCTCCCTGCTTACTAGTCATCAACTGGAGGCCAGCTGTCAATCACCTAGAGTGTCGTTGCAGATTTCTGCCAGATCCCCTGCCTGAATGGAGGACGCTGCATTGGCCGGGACGAGTGCTGGTGTCCAGCCAACTCCACGGGGAAGTTCTGCCATCTGCCTGTCCCACAGCCTGGCAGGGAGCCTCCAGGGAGAGGCTCCCACCAGAGAACCCTGCTGGAAGGGCCCTTGAAGCAATTCACCTTCATGCTGCCCCTCTCCAACCAGCTTGGTGAGTGCCTGCAGTGTGGGGCAGCCAGCCCGTGAGGCGCATCAGGTAGAGCGTGTGCTGTCACCGTCACCACGCTGGGTGGGTACAAGTCTCCACGGCATCCCCTACATGTCTGCCTTCCATCACAGTTCCTCCGTGTGTGTGCCCTGAGCTGTGGAAGACAGCACAGCTTATAACCATTCCCCTCCCCAGCCTGGGCAATAGAGGGGTAAGGGGCCGGGGTAGAATTCTACATGTATTTCATTTCCTTGCCTTTGGTTAATAGGTCACAATTCAAGGTACAAACATACAGGACTCTATAGGAGTTGGGAAGGGCCCTGACCCCAGAGTACCTATGAAGGAATTCATTGATCGTGACTTGTCTGTGGTCTGATGGTACTCAGGGTTGCACACAGCCACAGAGGACGTTTCAGAAAGAACCATGTAGCTTTCATTGCAGAGCCTTCCATGAAGGAGTTACCACTTCCTCCCGTCTGGGGCGGGGCATTGTTCTGGTTCCACAAAACAGGCAACGAAATGGAAGGGGGCTTTTGGAGACTCACACAGTCTGGAGTGTGACTGCCCGACCTAGGGTGGTGAGCGCTCTTCATAGGGCAGAAAAATGAGGTAGTGGCCTGCTTCTTGGCTCTGACTCCAGCCCTTCTGCCTAGCCTCTATGAACCCCTCGTTGGTGAAGGTGCATATTCAACATCCGCCCGAGGCCTCTGTGCAGATCCACCAGGTGGCACGGGTCCGGGGGGAGGTGGATCCTGTGCTGAGCGAGAACAGTGTGGAGACCAGAGCCTCTCATCGGCCCCCTGCCAGCCCAAGCCACAGCCACTGGGCCAGCAACAGCATACCTGCTCAGGCTGGAGAGGCCCCTCGGCCACCACCCCCAGTGCTGTCCAGGCATCAGGGACTTCTAGGCCGGTGTTACCTGAGCACTGTGAACGGACAGGTGAGGACAAAGCTTCCATCTCAGCTCTTCAGGCGTCCAGGACAGCTATGGTTCCCCAGTCTGTAGTTCTCTCTTTCTTCTTCGTTCCGTTTCCCATGTGGGTGAATCCACAGCACAAAAGTACCTGAGTGGGTTGGGGATGTAGTTCAGTCGGTAGAGTGCTGGTCTCATATGCAGGAGGCCCACAGTTTGATCCCTAGCAGCACATAAACCAGGCCTGGTGGTGCATGCCTGTAATCCCAGCACTTAGGAGTCAGAGGCAGAAGGATCAAAAGCTTAAGGTAATCCTTGGCTACATAGTGAATTCAAGGCCAGCCTAAGCTATGGAGCCTCTGTCTAAAAGGGGGAGGGTGCTGAACGTGGAGAGGCAGGGTCTCCTTCCTGAGCCAGATACACAGAAGGGGACCACAGGAGTCCCTTGTAGAGGAGCTCTCACTGGTACCTGCAGTCTAAGGCCTGCTAGAGTTTGGACTCAGAAAAATACTGGCTTTCTGTGAGCTGAGGCTAGGACCCTTGGCTCACGGACGGCCGCTCTCACAGGAGGCGTCTATGGTCTCTTTTCCAGTGTGCTAACCCCCTGGTGGAGCTGACTTCTCAGGAGGACTGCTGTGGCAGTGTGGGGGCCTTCTGGGGGGTGATCTCATGTACTCCATGCCCACCCAGACCAGGTGAGTATTGGTGCCAAGGTGGAGGGCTGGGGGAAGCGCTCTGTCCCCTCAACAAGGCCAGGCCATATTTCCAGATGTACCTCAAGGAGACGCTCAGCCCCTCTGCCCAGCAGCTGGGTCTGTGCTCAACCTGACAGTCTCTGTGGGGATCCCACTTTTAGAGTAGATTATATAGGGATTCAGACAGTGATGGGCCCCTTGTACCCTCTCACATACACCCATGCCTAGGGCCCAGGAACCTAGAATGTCTCCTTCCTTTCTCTGAGAGCCTTAGGCCTCCTCCTCCCCTCATAGACCAAAGTTGAGTGCCTGTCTGAAAATGCCCTTGACCTTAGGGTGTGAGAGCCCCAGTTCCTTGTCTCCTTTTGGATGGTTGGTTAAAACTCGACACATACTCATTTATTCATTCATTCATTTGTTCATTCAGCAGATATGGGCTGGATGCTTGTTTGTTTGTTTGTTTGTTTGTTTGTTCAAGACAGGGTTTCTCTGTGTAGCCGTGGCTGTCCTGGAACTCACTCTGTAGACCAGGCTGGCCTCAAACCCAGAGACTCACCTGCCTCTGCTTTCTCAGAGCTGGCATTAAAGATGTGTGCCACCATGCCAGGCTTAGCTGGATATCTCTTACGTGCCAGGTATTGAGGATTCAGTTAGCAAAAAGTCACTGACTCTGCTCCTAGAGATCCTATCCTGTTGTCTGGAGGGGTGATCGGGTGTCTGTACCTAAGTATGGCCTCTGCCTGCTCAATCTGTCTCCCCACCCCCACCCCCAGGCCTCATTCCTGAGCCTGAGCCTGGCGTGTGTTCTTCTTACCTGTCAGCAGTCAGCTCTGTGAGCTGGTTTTGTGGGGGGCCTGGAGCACAGCCCAAAGGTGGGAGGAGCAGGGCTGTCACAAGCTTCAGACTCAACAGTGCCACGGTAACTACATCTTCCACACTAAACGTGAGTGCAGATGGTTTCACAGTATGGTGTGTTTCTGGGAACCCGCGAAGGGTGGTGTTCAGTTCAGACTTTAGCATCCAACACACGTCAGGAGCCAGTCTCTTCCCTGCTTGCTCGTCTCTCTCTACCTTGGTCCCCTCCCTTGTGAAGTCTGGCCCTGAAGGGTAATAGTGTCAGCCTTACAGGGTTGCTTTGGTTATTACATGAGAGGGACTACATGGTACATGTTATAGATGGCTCCCCATAGCTGCAATTCTGTAACTGCAGACTCAACAAATTTCAGGTGGTCAAAAATATTTAAAAGAGAGGGCAGTGAGATGGCTTAGCAGGTAAAGACACCTGCCACTAAGTCTGACAACTTGCATTCAATCCTTCACGGTGGAGTCCACACAGTGGAAGAGCCGACTTCATGCATTGTACTGTGAGCTCCACACGGCCAGTGTGATGCTCACACACTCACACATATACGCATGCCCATATGCAAAAATTAATGAAAATGTAAATAATTTAAAAAAATATTTAAAGGACCATCCGAGTTCCGAGAAGTAAAACTTGAATTTGCCTCTCGCGGAGTCTGATGCTGAACCCACACGAAATGAAATGCTTGCTGTGTGATCATGTGCTTTTGTAGCCTCCCCCACTCTGTAATCCTGTGTCTACAGCAGTCACGTGAGCTCCGTTCACTTCACACCTCGTTTGCTGTATAGTTGGGTTTCTACTGAACACACAAGACTTTTTCTTGTCATAGTCCCTAAAAACTACACGGTGCTAATTTGCACATAATTTATATTGCATAAAATATTATAATCAATCTAGAAGTGACTTAAAGTTATGTGAGAGAATTCCCATAGGTTCTATGCTAGGCCATTTTTTTTTTCAAGACAGGGTTTCTCTGTAGTTTTGGAGCCTGTCCTGGAACTAGCTCTTGTAGACCAGGCTGACCTCGAACTCACAGAGATCCACCTGCCTCTGCCTCCCAAGTGCTGGGATTAAAGCCGTGTGCCACCACCACCCAGCTCAGCCTCTTCTCTTCAATGCCATGTCTACTGGTCATGGGATTTGAGCAGGAACAGAGGGCAGGATGCAGAGATGCAGGCTTTAAAGATTGCTGTCATTGGTGAGAGATACTTGGCCTGCTCCTTTAAGCAGAGGCTGGAGTGCACAGTGACCGTAATACCAGTTGTGAAAGACATCCTCACTTGGAAGGTGGGAATGAGTGAGAAGGCCAACGTTTATGCTTCGGGGGCTGTTTGCCTGCCTGTCTGCCCCTCTCATGGCTGGGCTGTATGCCAGTCTTGTGAGTTTAGCCCCACTGGTTGACCAAGGACCCTGATCCTAGCGGAGCTGGCCATCTTTGACCAGTCAGAGCCTGGACTTCAGCCTCAGTGGAGATGGGAGAAGATCTCTGGAGCAGTTGCGCTACATGTGTGCGGCGGTGCAAAGCACAGGCTGAACCTGCATATGCACAGTTAAAGCTCAGCTCTTTCCCTCCATCCCTCAGGTGGTGCCCCAACCTTCTCCCACCCTCCCCAGTGTTTGGCACAGCTCAGCAAGCTGGGCAGCAGGGTACAGACCCTGGAATGGCAAGCATTCCAGCATACTGAGCAAGAAATAACAAAGACCAGGGCAACGTAAACATTTCCAACAAATGAAACTGCAGCAGCACCCTGCTTGGGGAAGAGGCAGGACATTAAGGAACCTTGTTCGTGCTGACAGTTTGCCAAGACATCAAGCGCCACACCTTGCCCCCAGGGCTGGCACGGCTGTCCCTTTAAGTGGCATGACAAGCCAGCTACTGTGCAAGCACCGGAGAACAAAAGACGCTGCTGAAGGAGTTTGGGGCGATGGTTGGCCAGAAAAGCAGAACTTCTGGATTCGAGAACATTCTCATCCTTTGCGACTTTACTTTTATTTGTCCTCTGATAAAATGGGACTCTGTCTCTGAAGGGAAACGTTGTCTTCCCCAGCGGAGTCAAGTCATGATGGCAGCAACAGAATGGGAAGCCTGGGACCCACATGACTCCATGACGTCCCCCAGGTCAGATCGGTCTTTCAAGGCTCCACGCCCGACTGTGGAAGACAGTCACTGTGGAATGCTACTATTTCTTTTTCTTTAAGATTTATTTTTTTTTATTATGTATACAATGTTCTGTCTGCACGCATGCCTGCGGGCCAGAAAGGGGCACCAGATCTCATTATAGATGGTAGAGAGCCACCATGTGGTTGCTGGGAATTGAACTCAGGACCTCTGGAAGAGCAGCCAGTGTTCTTAACGACTGACTCCAACCCCCAGTGCCACTATTTCTAACATACAAAAGGACTGCCTTGAAGTCATAGTTCCAACAGCACAGACAATTCCCTTTTCTTCCCGAGAAATTTCAGAGCCCTATTCCTCAGGGAGATGGCTCCAGGAGTCAGCCTAGACCCACTGTGGGCCCTCCTTCTGAGTGACTGATACAACACGTCCCCCTGTGACCTCTGGGATTTAGCTCCAACCCTGCCTTCCTGACCCCTTGGGAGTTAGTACAAGGTCCCAGCCCAGAGTCTCTTCAGTGTCCTGCCAAAGTCTGGGAACACACCGCTCTCGAGAGCCACTTTGATTGAGGCCAGATTTTTGACTTTCCATATAAGACAGACATCTGGGGGAACTGGAAAGTTGGCAGCTGCCTCATCAGGCTTGGCACTGGCTATGTCAACCCCAAGGCCCCTTTGCTGGAACAGGCGGGGCTGGCACCACTTGCAGTGGTGGGCTCCAGCTGTTTGCCACGAAAATGTCTTTCCATCTGCCTGGCCTGGGATGCATTTACCTCAGAACCCAGGCCCCCTCTCTGGTTCTCGAGGGGCCAAGGACTCTGTCCCTCTGTCCTTCAGGGAAGACAGCATCTTGTGAACTTTGATGCCGGCTACTTACTAAACTGTCATTTTACCTGCATCGTCTCATTTAATTGGCACGATATTGAAGCCCGTGCAACAGATGGGGAAATGCAGCCCCGAGAAGGCTGAAGAACTCATCTACGACTGCAGAGAGTGAGGGCACTTAAAGCACGGTGTGTCTGGTCCTGATCGTCCTGGGAAGACCTGGACCTGTTTGCGAGAAGCACAACCTAGGGACTAGACTGGGAAGGAGTATGCGCGCCAGCCTTGTAGCCCATGAGTGACTTGTGCGTGAAGGATCTTGCCCATCAAAATTGGCAGGCGGGTCGGTTGGCAGTGTGTAAACCAGGCCTAAGTGTTAATGGAGGCATGCTCAAAAAAATCGCCCTAGACAGAAGGAGGGAGGCTGTTTCCGAGGGGTTCTAAGGAGAAAAAAGTAAAAGGGTAGATGTTTATGGAAAGCAGAGCTCAACTGGAAACTGCAAATGCTCAGCAATAAAATGCCCTGTGCCTGGAGTTACCAAGATCCTTCCTGCAAGTGGTACACCTATCAAGAACAGGTGTTTCAGAGGTGGGCAGTATCTTGCCTTGAGAGGACAAGGGTCTATGTGAGTGGCTGAAGATTTATCGCCAACTCACTGAACAAAAGCTCTGTCCCATAAGGATGGTGATGGAGTTAGTTCTGTGACGTCAGATAACAGTTGCATCTGTGAGGATTTGTTTGGGGCATAGAGCCTTAGGGCAAGTGACAGCAGCAATGACAGTATTGTTGGGGTCACCCTTAGCAGCTGTTTATTTAGAGCATTTGGAAGAACTTCGTATTGCAGTGAATCCTAATGATGCTTGCAGGTGTCATGGAATGCCATATCCATCGTTCAGAAGGACGTGACGCCTAAGTCCACCCTTTCCTGCTTCTAGCGCTCTGTAATTCACTGTCTGTATGTGGATTTCTGGAGCTCTGGCTTAGGTATTTAAAATTTGGAGGACCTCAGCTTGGAGAGTAGCTGTAATGGGGTAGGGTTTTTCTATTCTCCGGGACCTGGGTTGAGACACTAGTCCCCTGTCCTAGAGAAATGGGATGTAAATTCCAGTCAAGTTGAGGAATTATTATCTCTGGCTGGGTGCTGTTCTGAGAGCTTCTTCCAAAGAATTGGAAGCCGCCTGGGCATTGTGTCCCAGGCTT